ATATGACAACTATACAACTGGTAAGTAACTGCGAAAAGAGGTATAGAAAAAAATAGGCTTAGATTTGAATGATTTATACTTACAAAAGATGAACAGGCGCATTATTTATTTTTATTTTTATTTTATTTTAAATTTCTATACCGCCCTTCTCCGAGGACTCAGGGCGGTGTACAGCCAAAATTAAAAAAACATGCAGTAGAAATATTAGAAACAGTTAAAAACAAATATATAAATTTGGCCCAATTAAAACTCACTACCAATTAAAACATTTAAAATTTCTTCTTAAACCAGCCCAGCTTGCTTAAAAAAATGGGTTTTAAGGGCACGACGGAAGGCGCTGAGGTCTTGGATTCTCCTTATCTCTGGGGGCAGCTGATTCCAGAGGGTAGATGCCCCCACAGAGAAGGCCCTCCCCCTGGGGGCCACCAGCCTGCACTGTTTGGCTGATGGCACCCCGAGGAGGGTCTCTCTGTGGGAGCGCACGGGTCGATGGGAAGTCGTTGGTAGCAGCAGGCGGTCTCGAAGATAGCTAGGCCCTATGCCATGGAGCGCTTTAAAGGTGATAACCAACACCTTGAAGCGCACCCGGAAGACCACCGGGAGCCAGTGCAGCTCGCGCAGGAGCGGTGTTACATGGGAGCGCAATGCTGCTCCCGTCACTACCCACGCTGCTGCATTCTGGACTATACAGTTGTGAGCTAGGTTGCTTCCATAAAGCCTGATTTTTCTCAAAAAGACGAGTGTAAGATTATCTGTATTAACAGATGTTATTTATTTGTGATTCTGGGTATCTAACAAAGATTAATAACAGAATATAAAAAAATGATACAATAAAGCAATGAAATAAAACATGCTGGGGAAAGGCGTAAGAGTCATATAATTACAGTAGCGTCATATACCATCATGGGGTAGAACAGAGTGAAAAACCAAATCTTTAGAGCTTTCTTAAAGGCTGTTAGAGTCAGAACCATCAACATTTTAGGAGAGGGATACTGATCCATGTTATTTTAATTTTTATTGTTACATCTGAGTCCTGATATTTCACACCCAAGTGCTTTACGCAGGATGTAGTTTATCATTTGGCTGATTGCCTGAGCAGATGGGAGCACGTTGCCAACCTTGCTGGATTCCACAGCTAAGCGGGTGAAGCCTAGTTTGGAATGGGGCAGTTTGTGAATGTTATAAAATGGGTGGATGGATGGGCTCTCCAGGGAAGAAGAAACATAAGGAAATTGGGGGAAAAAATCCTGTGAAATACAATGTTTCACATTAGGATCATGATTTATGCACTAAGTCTCCAAAACTTTATTACCCTTGAAGGAGAAATGCATATTTTTTTCTGACAATGTATCCAATGTAAAGCATATTTCCCTTTGTTAATATAGTATGTGAATCAACAATACATTAATCTTCTCTGAAGTTCCTATATGGAAGATCCTTTTGTATAGCCCTTTGGTTATTCATAAGGTGAACCTCTTTTCATATATTAATCATTGTTATTATAAATCCATCCTGGTAAACTTGAATCTTTTAATACATTTTAAAATATTTCCATAAATACTATTTATTTTAATTATTCCTATAAATAATATTTAAAAGAATATTATTTATCTCAGTCAATTATTGTTCCTATCAAGACTACTCTTTAAAAATATTTTGAATTCAGTTATCTTTCAAAGAAAACATTGCTAGAAAGAAATGTAAGTCTAGACAATTGATGTAATCCCTACCATATGAAATAGTTTTAATAGAGAAACGAGGAAAAGAATAACCATTATTTATAAATGTTGGTTAGATATGAAAAAACACTGCCATGGTAATTTATGCCTTCTGCATAAGGGTATCAATACTGCAAATAAAACAAATTACACAAAAAGGTTAGACGTGATCCAAAAAATTCCATTGAAGTTTTACTATGTTCCTAAGAATCTTTTCATCTTTACTACAAAGAAAAGGTTGCTTTACTTTAAACAAAACTATTTTTAAAGATAGTGTATTACAGAGCTGTGGTGGCGCAGTGGTTAGAATGCAATACTGCAGGCTAACTCGCTCAATCCAGGAGTTCAATTCTGAGTGGCTCAAGGTTGACTCAGCCTTCCATCCTTCTGAGGTCGGTAAAATGAGGACCCAGATTGTTGGGGGCAATAGGCTGATTCTGTAAACCGCTTAGAGAGGGTTGTACAGCACTGTGAAGCAGTATTATTTATTATTTATTGGATTTATTATATAAGTCTAAGTGCTGTTGCTATTACAAACAAGCATGGAGAACATTTCCTTTCTACTGAGTTATCTACAATATTGGAAGCTGTGGACAGAACTGAAGCAAGCAGTTTTGGACCAGACTCCAAAACGTGTAAGAACAGGACAGTTTGTGGTAGTGGTGGAAAGCCAAAAGTGGGATGAGTGAAGATGTGCCCCTCTGATGCAAATTGATGAGGCTTTAGTCTCATCTAATCACCACTTTGGCTTGTTGCCCCATCCCACAAATGCTCCAGGTGAGACTACCTGTTCTCTTGTTGGCATTTCCTCTTCCTGATGCCCTCTTCTCTCCAATTGTTGGTCTGTACAAAGGGACAGAAACTACTTATCACAGCTCTAAAATGATTTTGTGTACATGTGTCCTGAAATGTAATAGCAGGCCTTACAGAATTATTTGGATTGCAATTTCCTTCTTAGCTCTGTCTTAATTATTCTCTGCTTGATTTAAAAGTAATATCTTTTTAATAATATATTTATTAAATTCCAAAAACAAACATTAAAATACAAGCTAACGTAAAAGGAAAAAGAGAAGTTAAAAAGTAACAAAAAATATCAATTCAATATATAACAAAAATGACCTCCAACTTTTAAAGCAGAGATAATATAACAAGCCTAAGTTTAAATGAATAATACTAATATTTAAAATAACTGAACATAATAATCAGCATTCTAAAAAATCAATATTCATAATATATTCTCTTAATTTTAATCTAACTTGCAAAAAAATTGTCAAATACGAATAACCATGTATTCAAAATCCATTTCTTTAGACAGTTCATATCTAGTTTTCAGGTCCTAGGTCAAAAAGTAAAATTTCTTCTCCTCTTGTAAGAAATCTAAACAAAGCAATTATTTTTTCCAGGTGCAGTTCATTTTGGTGACAATGCATATAGGACAAATCTACACCATGGATAATTGTCAGTATCAGTATCCGATTTTCATGTTCATCATTGGGCTCTACGGATCTTTGTTTTTAATCTTGTTTCTACATTTTTGGTATAATGCTTATACTAAGGGTCAGCGGCTCCCAAAACATTTGCAAAATGGCGTTACCAGAAACAAAAATGAATGAAGGGCTCAGTGACCAAACAAGATCTTCAACGTGCAGTACTTGACAATCAAGAGACTTCAGCACACAGCACACTGGATGTTTTGTATATGGTTTTCCAGGACAAGAAAATATATTTTATTATAAATTATTTGGAATTTAAATTTGATGTGAGGAGAAATAAAAACTACCTAGTACATCCTGCGACTTTCAGCAATAAAGTACATATTGTGAAAATATATGTATTAAACAACAATTTAGCAGCACTCTTAAATGCTTATGTACCTTCATTATACAAATGAAGTGTGTTTGATAAGTATACAACAATACTTTGAGCACTGATAGGATACATTCATTTTAACTGGGTCACAACTTCTTTAGGGTGCTTTTAACTGAAATGGAAAAGTTTCATGGATGATAGTGGCATAAACCTCACTGTTTATATATCAACTTTGTTTTATACAAACTGTACTACTGTATATTAAAAACTATGATTCATAAGTCTTCAACTCTGAATTTTTTTAAGGTGTCTTAGGGTTTTAATAATGGGATGGTTTGAAGGAAACATTCACACAGCAGGAATTTGTAAAACAATGCATTTATTGCTTGCTAAAATACTGTCATGTTTTAAAGTAAAGGCCACCTTCTTCTGGAATCAGGTCAAAGCTTATTAAGATGGAGTGTTTGTTAACAGACTGTCAGGACCATAGCAAAAGCCCAATAATCGTCCCTGGAAAAAGCTATCAGCAGTTTAATGGATCTTAAGTCAAAGGAGAATTTTTTTAATGGATCTAAAATTCAGATTTACATTTACACCAGCTCTTTGCCTAAATTCCAGTCTTTCCACTGCTTGACCCAAAAGCCCTGAACCACAAGGACGACAAATCCCAAAATAAGCAAACAGGATTTGAGACACTATCTGAAACTTAATGCCCGTTGTAATCACTCGATCTAGAACAGGGTTCACCAACCTTTCAGACCTCAGGACCATTAAATACATCATTTTAAATCCCGTGGACCATTAATATGATATTTTAAAAAAGATAAGTAGTATTAAGTGCAATATAAAAAATGCAAATAATTTTTTCTATGGACCACCAACATTTTCTCACGGACCACCAGTTGGTGACCACTGATCTAGAAGACTCAGTGGTTTAGGGAAAAGCTGATGGGGACACACTCATGATGCAGAAAACCCAAGAAGCTCCCACGTATATTAACCCATGATGGTGCAAACCAGGTTAAGAGAGGCTTAACGCGTGTCACAAGGCTTCCTCCATTCTTGGCTATAGCCTTTGTGCCAACTGCGTGGGGCAATTTAAGAGAGGTCAATCCTTGCACCACCCATATAAAATGAGAAGGGATGGGAATCTTTCCAAATTCCGCGATGACGCAGTATCGATTTTTAGCAAGAGGCCACCGAAGCAGGTGCGAACAACGTCACCTGCTCGCAATATACAAAGTGGAGTCAGCCGAACAACAACAACAACAAAAAAGCATCGCCTGAAATTATCTGCCCGGTCCTCTTATCTCGCTACCGCCCAGCGATTGATGACGTAGAAAAGGAACTGATTGGGCGTTGACGGTAAAAACGCCCCTCTGACGTTTCTAGCAGAGAATCCAATCGCCCGCTTATCGGGGGCAAAGAGCGAAACGCAGGGTGATTTTTTTTCCTTCCTTTTTTTAATGAACGGAGCGCTTCTAAAAGGATTTCCTCCAATCGGCTAATTCCGAGGTATCATGTGACTTGGATTTGGCCCAATCAGAACGCGTTAGCCTCCGATTCAAACTTTCCTTCGAGGGTTCTATCCATGCTGTGTCCCTCGGTCGCCGTGGAGACGGACCGCGGAGTTTTGTATTTTCGGGGCGAGACCGATGGAGCCTCGACTCGTGGGCCCCGGGCCCTACCGAGCAACTCGTCTGGTGAGTAAAGAACGTTTTTCCCCGAAGGCTTTCTAAACACGAGCTGACTTTTTTTTTTTTGGTCCCTGAAGATAAGCAGGGAATGCACTCTGCATGTGACCCGGTACCATCCTTAATAGATTCTTGGTGCAGCATTCCTAAATCTTGAATAAAATCCTGCTTGCGGAGAGGCTGTAAATTTAATGTATAAATTGACTACAGTTATATACCATACACTATATATAATTGACTACACTTCAGGTGAACAATTCTCTGCAGGGTGAATGGTCTTAAGTTGCCCCAAAGCACAAGCATAAGTGTAGTGAAATTCCATCTTCCTAAGTTGCGGCCAGTTTTGGAATTACTCCAGCACATCTGGGCAGGTGCTGCATTGAAAAAAGATGGTATTTTGAATATGCCGACCTGTTTTAGGAAGGTCTGCACTTCCGATGGAAATGGGGCTTTTATATAAAAAAACATTTCAGCTGTGAATGTTGGGATCGCCTGCATTCACTGCCATTGAACCATGGTCTTTCCCAGAGTTCCTGTTTATGTGCCAGATTAAAATGTTCAACTTCGAGTATACTAAATGCATATACAGCTTAGTTACATCATGTAACTTGAAAACACCAAACCTGGTTGAACTGTTTAGTTTGGGATGGGAGGCTGCCAGAAAAATCATGGGATGGTAGTCTAGACAGGGAAGGAGAATCATAAAGGGAAACTTCCTGGAAAAAGGGCACCTGCATACTGTTGTAAGAAAATTACAAGTTCATGCTGGTGCATTTAGGTATTTTAATACATATTTGGATATCCTATTAATGCACATACAGTACAATTCTTTCTGAGCTGCAGCCAGAGCATGCATGACTGCTACTTTATCTGCAAGCCAAAATCAAGCCAATATCTCACCAGTCAAGGTAGCATTCAAATTCTCCTGAATGATCTGTATCTGTAGAGTTTCAGACAATAAGCATTAGCCCTCCTGAACATTTCAGAGATTCAATCAGATATTTTGCAGGCAAAACAGAAGTATCCCTAAGAGCTGCTCATCTTTGTTTTATGCCTTATCAAAATGTAGTTGTATTTTCTTTATGTACACAGCATCCATAGCTTCATTTGAAGAGCACTGGTTTACTATGCAGCAGAACATGGTGTTAAAGCTTTAAATGGGCTGTGTCATTTTATATGGTAGATAAGAGAATACCTTTTCAACTGTATCACATTAATTTTAAAACGAGTATTAGAAATACCATAAATTAAGATTAAATGACAACCTTTCTTCCAGAAATGTTGGGAGTTTTTTTTTTAATTAACACTTAAAACTTTGCATCCAACAAATGATGATTCCATGTACAGGTAGTCCTTGACTTGCGACCACAACTGAGGCCAACATTTTTGTTGCTAAGTGAAATATTTGTTAAGTGAATTTTGCCCCATTTTAGGACCTTTTGTGCCACAGTTGTCAAGTGAATCACTGCAGTCATTAAGTTAGTCACACGGTTGTTAAATGAATCTGATATCCTCATTGACTTTGCATATAAGAAGGTCACAAATGGGGATCACATGACCCTACCATGCAACCGTCATAAATACGAGTCAGTTGCCAAGCATTCAAGTTTTGATCACCTGACTGTGAGGGATACTGCAACGGTCATAAATGTGAAAAACAGTCCTAAGTCACTTTTTTCAGTTCTGTTGTAACTTTGGTCACTAAATGAACTGTTGTAAGTCGAGGACTATCTGAACTGAAACAATGCGCTTGTGCAATATTAAACCTAACCAGGGCAGTGAATCGTTAAGTGCTTGTTGGGACGGTAGTGGTTTTTGGATGTGTTATGCATTTCTAGCCACTGGGTTTTGTTAAATAACCCATGATTAAAGTTTATAATTCAATATGAACCCAGTTTATGAATTTTTGCAGGTCCTTGAACAGTTTGAGAAAAAAATCCATAGATTTCTATAGAGATTTTTATCTTCAACATTATTCCTAATTTGAATCTTTGTCTCCTGCCCCAATTATGAATAAATGAACATAGATACATGCACATTTGATGGAGATAAAAATAGAGCTACCTGGGTTACAAAGACTGGCAGGAATGATGGTTCTAGAAAATAATAATACAACTTTATCATAATTGCCATAAATTGTTATTTATATGATGACCTCCATATAAAGTGTAAGGAATATCATTCATTTGTTATGGCCACCTATTGAAACAACTGACTTTGGGCAGCAAACAAAATTAAAATGAAACAACTACAAACTTTACAAAACATTATAAAATACAAACGTAGTAATTTGGACTTTCCAGATGTTTTGGTCTTCCACTCATATCAGTCCTAACAGTTGTGGAGTGATTAGGCCAGTGATGGCGAACCTATGGCACTGCTCTCTAGGAGTCTCTGGAGGCTGGGGACAGCAAAAAACGTCACTTCCTGTCCAACTGGGAGTTGGGAAATGGGCTGTTTCAGGCCACAAGAGGGCCTCGGTGGGGGTGGGGAAGGCTGTTTTTGCCCTCCCCAGATGCATAGAGAGGATCTGGACCCAGGTGAGAAAGAAAAACAGGCCTACTGGGCCATCACGTGCCAGGAGTGTGGGAAGGGGGTTGCGCACACATGCGCGGGGCAGGATGCATAGAATTAAGGGTGTGGGCATGCGCGCACGTGAACCTCCCCTGCTCCCCCTCCTCCCAATGGCACGTGATGGCAAAAAGGTTAGCCATCACTGGACTAGCAATATGAAAACTTCAATAAAAAAACAACATGTTGCCTCCTCTATAGTGAGCGTTATTCTTTTTCCTCTGTGAAAAGAAATCAGCTTTAAGTCTTGCCTGTGATATATGAACAAAGACAGGTGGTGAAGGCAATCAATTTTTCTCCATATTTTTTATCTCTTGTGAGCGATGAAACAGGACGCAACTTTTTAAGATAAATAAAACAGTGTAAAATGAATGGTCGATATTAAGACAAGCGTGATTGCGAATTTCAATACACAAATCACCATGTCACAATTTTGTGCACCTATACAGCAATCAAAGCAGATTTATGCTCAAGTAATTTAAAACCTGAATGTGTTCAAGCATGATTTTAGAACGTATAGTTGTTAAAGGGAATGTGCTTATATTGGAGAAAGTCTTGAAAAACAACCTAAAAAACGATCAGGCATTTCTTCGACTTGCTTATAAGAATAATATATAAAAACTGGAAAGAGCTTGGTTAATATGCAAAAAGCCTAAAAGCTTAAATTAGAAGGTACAAGTTAGGTTTCTTCATACACTCTTTTGTTCCTTCTCAGGTGCTGCCCCAACAAGTACTAACTTGTGCTTAGATAAAGCTTTCATATTTTCTTTTCAGTGGAATGAGACTGTTGAGCTCTTTCGAAATGGAATGCCATTACGGAAACATCGTTTTCACTTCAAAAGCTACGAAGGTTGCTTCACTGCTTCTGAGGCTGTGGAGTGGTTACACAAACTGCTGAGACGCAACCAAAATTTTAGCCCAGAAGTAACTCGTGCTCAAACAGTTCAGCTTCTCAAAAAGTTCCTGAAGAATCACGTTATTGAAGATATCAAAGGAAGATGGGGCAAAGATGATTTTGAGGATAATGGTAAATTATATAGGTAAATAACTGAATGGATTCTTGGGGCAGAAACTGTGTACTGTGTTCATTTTTAAATGACTGTTATTTCAAGCAAGCGTTCAATCCTTAGAAAAGAAAGAAATGGCATGATTCTTCCAGCATAAGCAATACAGGGAGTCGCCATTTAGCAACTCTAATTGCAATCAGGAATTCAGTCACTAAGCAATGTGATTGTAAGGTAAAAAATCACATGACTGCACCAGTTTAGGTCGTTGTGGATGTTAAGCAGATTGTGCGTGGTTATTATGAGTGATGTCATGTCACTGTGACTTGCAACTTCCTGCCAGCTTCCCATTGACTTTGCTTGTTGAAAGCCAGTAGTGAAGGTTGCAAATAGTGATCACATGATCTCTGGTGGGTGCCACCGTTGTAAGTGTTTACTAGTTGCCAAGCACCTGAATCACGATCATGTGACTATGGGCATGCTACAATGGCCACAACTCATGAGCCAGCTGTAAGTCTTGTTCTGTGCTATCATAACTTTGAGCAGTTGTTGAGTGAGCAGTTACTAAGCAAGGACTATTGTACTATGTTTCCAAAACCAACCAAACAATTCTGTTTCTACCCTCCACCCTCCATGCAATCTACCTTAAACAGACCTTCCAGACAGGTGGGAGTGGGGGTGGGGCAGGGGTGAAATGCTCCCGGTTCAGACCGGATCGCCCGATCCGGTAGCGATGGCAGTGGGTGGTTCGGAGAACCGGTAGCAAAAATCCCTGCCCCCCCCCCCCCACCCCCCCCGGGGCGCCCAATCATCAGAGACTTTTTTTTTTTTTTTACTTTTAAAAGCATTTTTTCTACAACCTCTTCTGATGAAAAAATGCTTTTAAAAGTAAAAATAAAAAGCCTCTGATGATCACGCGGCTCAGCTGGGATCGTCAGAGGCTTTTCAAAGCATTTTTTTCTGCAACCTCTTGGCCGAAGAGGTGGTAAAAAAAATGCTTTGAAAAGTCTCTGACGATCCCAGCTGAGTTGTCTGATCGGCAGAGGCTTTTCAAAGCATTTTTTAAAAAAGCCTCTCTGACGATCCCAGCTGAGTTGCCTGATCAGCAGAGGCTTTTCAAAACATTAGAAAAAATGCTTTGAAAAGTTTTTTTTTAAAAAAAGTTGGCCACGTCCACCCAGTCACATTCCCGCCCCCCCACCCCCACCAAGCTACACCCACAGAACCGGTAGTAACAAATTTTATATTTCACCCCTGGGGTGGGGTCATATTAATTATTCATATACCCTTGTGGAAATTTCTGGTGGTCATATCTGTTGAACTGAACAGGGCAAACAATAATGTCATCCATCTTGAGAAAGAAAGCCAACTGATCTTAGGGGAGGACCAGGCCTATTATGCAGCTTCCTGTGCAGATTGGCTCAAGATTATGAAGTCCATGGAGACAACTGAGCTCTCCTGAAATCTACTGCTTGGAGTTGCAGATTGAAATCTTTAGCATTAGAACCTGGGACATTTCAACAGTAGTCTTCATCAAGGACTAGGTTCAGCAGATTCCCTGCTTGTCCCTACATCCTAATTTTCCCATATAGTTGAAATACCCAAAACCCAGAAGTTAAAATCTTGGGCTAAGCCAACTCTCAGTTTTGTTAATACAGACCAGATCTACTCATTTATCTAATAAGTGCAATCTTATTAGGCATTCGCTACTATCAGTATGAGGATAATCATCAACAAGTTGTTTTCCTAGATACCCCACCAAAACAACAAGGCATTTGAGTTGAAGTAGGAACCCAGTACCAAATTTTCTGGCCTTTCCTGAAACAGTTAATTCCGCTTCCTATCAAACCTTCCTTTTCCATCACAATTACAATTGGCTCACCCCCTTATTTCCTATTCCCTCAGTGAGTTTCCATATCTATCCTGTTGCAACACAGATAACACATAACTATTCAGTGCAACTTACCAACCCATCTACTCCTGTCCTACCATGGTTGCCTTGATCTGACACCATTTATTAAACACCCCCTTTGATTCCACAGAACACATTTTCACCAACACAGCCAGCCTTAGCTACTTGGTGCCCCTCTGCCTTAGAATTCCCCTTTTATCTAGTACTGTTATCTTGCTGCAAGAGGTTTATTCCCATATATTCTTATTCCAAGGAAACATCAACTTTTATCTATAATAGTTCATACTGTGCTATGGGCAATGACTCAGCTCTTAAATTGCTGCATGGGGAGTCTTCTCATCATTTTGACCACCACAACACAACCATCAATGGTTGCTGGTCAGCATACCCAAAGCTCCTTAGCAATCTACTGCCCAGCATACCAGTATCTCCTAAAGCCATGATGGCGAACCTATGGCACGCGTGCCGGAAGTGGCACACAGAGCCATTTCTCCGGGCACGCGAGCCATCGCCTGTTGCTCTTCCGGGTTCTGGTATGCCAGCCAGGTGGTCTTCACGTGTGCGGGAGCGCCAAAACCCAGAAGAGCAGCCGCCCGGTGTGTATCTGCGTGCCAGGAAGATGATCTTCCAGTTTCCGGCGTGAGCATACGCACTGGCCAGTTGGTCTTCAAGCATATATGCACATCAGAAACCGGAAGACCAGGTGGCTGGTACGCATGCGTGTGCTGGAAACTAGAAGATCATCTTCCCGGTGTGCACTGGGTGCTGTGCTTCCGGTTTCTGGCATGCGCGCACGCACGCTCCCGTTTCGGGACTGGTGTCAAAAAGCTTTACCAACACTGCCCTAGAACCTAACCAGTATGATGCTATATAAATGCTACTGTAAGAGAATTGCATCCAGGTTTTCGAAGGCCATCTTCCAACTACTAGACATTCAGATTCATTTGTTGTACTTCTTCATATGCTGCCTGATGAGTACTTAAAGAGAACGAATCAATTATTGGAATAGTACGTTTGAGCTGTTATGCCTCTTATCAGTAAGACTTAATGGTATATTCTTGCGGAATTTACATAAAATAGCTAAATATTTTCCTCCAGAGCCAGGAGGTGCCTGCCTCTTTCAGGTAGTCTATGGCTACCATCCTTGCATCTTGCTCTCCAGAATTCTGCTTCTGCTGTTCCTTGCAGGCCTATTCCTCCATGGGCTACTCAGTTGCTCTTAAAAGGAACATCTAGAACTTCTGTTATATTTCCAGCCAAGATACCAACTCAGCATGCTCAGAAATGGGCTACATTCAGTCTAAGAAGAGCTTGATTGGGAAACTATAGTCACTTTTCCAGCTGCAATTCCACTTACAGAGTCTTGTTGGCTTTATAGGCACTTGATCTTGCCTATAAAGATCCAGATCATTGGTTCTTACTCAAACCATGATTGATTGTGGAGCCACCAGTAATTCCATGGACTTCCCACCTGTGGAGGCCTGCAGAATTTGTGAGATGCCATACAGCCATCGGTGTCCCTAGAAAAAAATTGATGGGAGAGCCCTGCTATTTGAAGTGGTACTGACCTAGTGGAAATGGGTTAAGAAGAACATGTAGGGGAACTATTATTCTACCTAACCCATGCCTTAATTTTCCAATGATCCAGAGAATTGTCTGACTCTAAGGATGACCTTCAAATCATCTGTCAAAAGGAATTAATATACTTCAATTCACCCATCTGTAAGGAGCATTTCTCAGCAAAAATAAATTAGAGTAAAACAGACAAATATATGACTTCAGCTATGTCTTAAATCAGGGGTTCTCAAACTTTTTAAACAGGGGGCAGATTCACAGTCGCTAAGACTGTTTGGGGGCCCAGACTGGCTGGGTGGGTGTGTTTAGGTGGTCATGTGACTGGGTCGGCGTGGACAATTTAACAGTCCATTTTTTTGCCTTTCTCCTTCCTAAACTCCTGTTTAAATTGTTTTCAAAGACTTTTAAGTTAAAGCAGTACTTTACAAACCCAGAGTTGCTTTTCAAGGTTGCACCCCCCTCCCCTATTCAAACACCAGTCCTGGTTCACATGGCTGTGAAAAAGACTTTTAATTTAAAACAGTACTTTACAAGCCCAGAGCTGTTTTTCAAGGCTGCACCCTCGAGATCACTCCTCAGCTGGCCTTACAGTTGGCTCACTGGAAGATAAGGCCCACGACAAGGGGCAGGGCTTAATCACATCACTCTGTGGGCCGGATACTTTGCCTTGGCGGGCTGTAGTTTGAGCATATCTGTCTTAAGTGAATACGATCACCTACAACCATATTGTCCCTATGACTGTCCTATTGACATGATCCCTGGAGCCTAAATTCCAGTGTAGAGCTACTTCCTTTCAGAAACTGAACTTTTGCAACTCTGCAAAATTTCATTTCAAAAAAACCTCAAGATGGTTAATATATCTTTACATCTATAGCTGCTTTTACAGTATTCTATTTGTCAAGAAAATGTCAGGACAGCTTCTGCAATGATTTCTTGGTCCTCAACCAGATCATAATCCAAAATCAGTACTCTGCCTTGATCTCAAAACTCCCGGGGCATATGTAGAAGGCCAGAGGTTTTACAGAACTCAGCCTCAGAGAGAGTTATGTACAACTGGCATGAAACTGGGAAGGCAACTAATGAAAAGCTGCTCTTTCCACCTGATAAGGGTGTTTTGAATATATTGTGATCTCATTTGGTTTATTCAACACTGCCACAATATTCTAGCACTTGATGAATGACATTTTTCAGGATTTTGCAAACCAATCTGTCCTAATCTATTTAGATGACACCTTGATTTATTCATGCTCCTTTCAAGCATCATAAATGCCACGTAAAAGATGCTTTGCAGTGCCTCAGATAACATAATCAGTATGCAACTCCTGAAAAATGCAACTTTGAAGTCAATGTTATTAATACCATAGATATTACATCTCTACAAAAAAAAAGGCCCAGAAGGACCCAGCCAAAGTAAAAAAAACATCCTACTGACAACTCTAAGTGGGTCAAATCTATGCAGAAGCTAATAGCTTTCACAAGCTATTAATACAGCTTCATTCCAAACTTTGCAAAACTCACACCTTCTTCAGCCAACCTGTGCTGAAAATAAACCCCATTCAGATAGAATATCCTATTCAGTAAGGTTTCGAACAAATAAAAAAAGGATTTCTCCACTCCATCTATCCTCCAACATACTGGCTGTACTCAACCATCAGTAGATGAAACTGACATTTTTGACATCACAGCATGAGCTATTTTGCTACATGTTACAAGAAAGCTAAAAACAAGAACATTAAATCCATCGGAACAGTTCTGTGCTATTTGGAACAAGTAACTCTTGGCTATTAATGCAGACTTTGAAACTTGGAGGCAGTTGCTGAAGAGTTCAACACCCAGAGCCAATTCAGACCAACCACTATAACCGAGGGAGAGAAGATGAGGTTGAATATTTTCCCCTTTTGTAAAGGCTAGGCTTAACTCAGCCTCCCCCAAGACATAAAAAGTTTTACAGCACTGTACATTAATAGGGGAAGTGTTAAATTCTCTCCCCCATCTGCTAAGAGGCAAACTGACCAACAGACTCAGTCCATAGTCATCCATGCCAGCATTCCAGCTATGCAATTGGCCATTCCAGCTGACTAGTTTAGCCACACCCTACCTTTTCCAAGAGCACCTTATGTTTATAGATAACCAGGTCAGCACACTGGTGGAAGAATTTGTTCCTTGCTCAAGTCAGACACCAGATATAGTTCAGAGTTCAAAAGTTTATTCAGTACTACTTTCTAACATTCATTCCTTATCTGTCCATGTGACACTCTTGCTTCACTAAATGATGGATTGCCTTTCCCTTTTAAAATGGTGTTAGTTCAGCTTTCTAATAACTATTTTCTAACAACACCATACCCTCAGACTCAAAAGGGAAAGCCAACCCAGAGGGATATGGATGACGAGGAGAACAGGAGACAAAAAAGCAGGAAGTGTCATACAGACAAGTGCATCAACCACAGACAATAAAAGGGCTCATAATTGTTGTAACCACAAGCCATGGTAAACAGCCCATTTTGGCTTGATCCCTGCCTGGAGTTTGGGTTGGATGTTTAATATATATCATTGCTTAAAAGCAGAGCTTCAAATGTAGCCTGGACCTCAGCAGCAAACTTGTTCTGCATCAGGTTTTATGAAAGGAGCTAAGGGGCTGAGGCAACACCTAATGCCCAACAAATGCAAGAACATTGGTAGGGAGCCAAGGATTGTATACCACTTCAAAAACATTTAACTACTATGGGGACTGAGCCCCAAAGACTTGTTTACCTGACTAAGTTAACTTGGCAAGACTAGGAGGGTGAAGTTAACCCATTGTTATTGTTGTGGAATGTGTAAGAAGTAAAGCATTGTATAACATTTCCATCTAGGTCAGGGATGTCTAACTCCAGGCTCATGGGCTGGAACTGGCCCACGGGGTGCTTAGATCTGGCCTTCGTGGCTGCCTTAGCCCACGGATTCGGCCCTCCCGAGCTCCATTTTCACTGGCAGAGCACTCTGGCCACCACAGGTGCCCCAACACGAGTAACATCAAGTTGGCCATGCCCACCCTGGCCATGTTCACCCCCCCCCGAGGTCAAACACAACCCCGATGCGGCCCTCAATGAAATTGAGTTTGACACCCCTGATCTTCGCCACTGTTTCTCAAATTTGGCAACTTTAAAATATGTGGACTTCAACTACCAGAATTCCCCAGCCAGCAATTTCAAAATTGCCAAGTTTGAGAAACACTGATCTAAACTGTAGTGTGTCCAGTCATTGCAAAATAACCCCTTACAATAAGCTGGAATACCTTTTAAACAGGTGTCTATGGAGATTCTCAGTCAGGATGAACAGGAATGAAGCCAAATCAACACCAGATCACTGTTTCCCCTTTCAATTTTTGAGCATTATCATGATTTTATTACTTGAAATTCTTCTGTGCGATGGCAAAAATGCAAACTTCACAAAAAATAATGGATCTTATCAGGGATAATATATTCCTGATCATCATGGAACATTCATTGAATAATTTTAGCTTCATGATTAGATTATCAGGAATCATACATGATCTTAAATAATCCTGGTATTATTTCCTCTGATATCCTGATCTTGTCAGGATTTAGAAATTAATAAAAAATAATGATTCGATGGCTACTAACCATGATAGCATTCTAGTATCAAAGGCAATCCATTTGATTAATGTTATGCTTATTGAACTTTGTACTTTGGAAACCCAGGAGCATCTGCTTGAACACTGGGGGAGGATGATTTATTAAATCCAACATTATTCTTATGTTCCTGTGATAGACATTCAATTTATTATTGCCTAGGATCAAAAAGCCTCACATGTAGCCAGAAAATATACCATCCAATGATTTGTAGCAGTGAATAAACTGAAACATTTGTGCAGTTTTGTAATACAATCAACAGCTTCCATTAAACAATGTAAAATAAAAAAAATAGATAACATTATCAGGTTTCGTCATTTGTTTCCTAGCAGCACAGGCTTTAAAACAGAATTTGTAAACTTTGAAAATAACATTGTCAATAGAATTTGTGAGGATTGAGATACAAAATGTATCTGTCCTACCAGGTAACATTTAAAATTGTGCCTAAAATAGCAGCAAAATATAACATTGTTAATAAAACAGCACATGAATCCTGGTTTTAGCTGATCCCAAATGATAACTTTCTTTCCATAAGAGTAAAGGAAAAATATTGAAACAAGTGAAGGTGAAAATTCTGCAATATTTTGCAGCATCAAGTTTTATCTATTTATAAAGAGATTTTGCTTGAATAAAACTTTGTTGTGATTTCCCTCTCGAAGCAAAAATATTTTGTTTAGCTTGATCATGTTATAAATTGGTATCATTGTTTGTGTATCTTTAGTTTTGGAGAAATTGTGTAATTGTGTAATTTTGTCTCCAAAGTTCTTTCAGCTTAAAGAAAGGTTATCTTGTAGCATTAATGGGGCTAGATTCTCAGGGGAGAATGATAGTGTTCCTATGAAGGTTTTAATAGACTGTTTTTAAATTTTAGGTTTCCTCCTTTCTCACCATTAAAACCATACCCTAAACGATCTCCTTACCGAAAAGAAGTTGTGAAATTCCCAAACTGGGACTTTGAAAAAATTACTTTCCAAGAGCACATCCCAGTGAAACCTATCACATTGGTAAGCTATCTTCTCATACATTAACGTGTAATGCATTGAGATATACAAATACATGAGATTATGTCAAGATTATCATCTTTTCTGCCTTCAAAGATATCAATTGGTGGAAATCTATGGAGATTCTCAGTCAGCCAGGTCACAGTTGTCCGAAAGGTGCTTTTTCAGGAGGCAACTGGACTTCCTTGTTTTTTTCCTTGAAGACATTTCGCTTCTCATCCAAGAAGCTTCTTCAGCTCTGATAGGATAGTGGGGAATGGAATTAAAATTAGGGTTAAAATTGGTAGATTTATAGAACTTGTTTCATTAATTTGAAGTGGACTTAGTTGTGACTCTTTCCGCAGATTTGGTTAAATATATTGCTGGCGAAGCAATGTTGCCATGAAAGGGCAAAGTTATAGATTAACAATAATTAGGGTTTTTCTCCTCACACTGCTACAGAATTCTGAAATGTGGTTCAAACGTCACAGCATAGCAATTGGAGAAGTACCAGCATGCAAACTCATCCATCGTCGACAATTAAAAGAGGCAAATGTAGAAGACATATGGAAGTCCAGGACTTCATCATAGTAAGCATGTTGCATAAGTTGTTCTTTTACAAAATAAATGTGGTGGAATGTACTCCAGGAAGAAGGGAGTGCATTTCAGAGGAATAAGAGCAGGGGTGAAATCTAAAATTTGTTACTACCGGTTCTGTGGGTGTGGCTTGGTGAGGTAATGTGACTGGGTGGGGTGGGCAACTTTTTTTTTTTTACTTTTAAAAGCATTTTTTTCTACAACCTCTTTGGCCAAAGAGGTTGGAGGAAAAAATGCTTTTAAAAGCCTCTGACGATCAGTCAACTCAGCCTCGTCAGAGGCTTTTAAAGGCATTTTTTTTTCTACAGCCTCTTCTCTGAACCACCTGCCGCCATTGCTACCAGATTGCTACCAGATCGGACGATCCGGTCTGAACCGGGAGCATTTCACCCCTGAATTAGAGACTAAATTTTAGATAGTTTCAGTTGGGAGGAACAGGGTCAATACAGCTCCTCCCTAGAGGTTCCCAGAGTATTAACTATAACAAAGCAAAATAGTTTGCTTTAGTTTAGCAATATTTCTGTCTGCAGGTGAAGAATAGTAAGGGAAAGTGTTTAGAAGAAACTCTGCATGTCTTTCTTGGTTTTGGGGCTTGGCATCAATCTCTTTTTGGAATATACTCTGTCCCTCCTGAGAATCTGGACTGCATTCCACCACACACTAAGCTACTGCAATTAATATTAGTAGTTGTTCCCAAAATTAAAAAAAAAACAAAACTTAAAAACCCTGGTAGCCATTTAAAAAATCCAAAGGCATCAGTGAGCAAATCTGTAAACTGTTTTCTGTCTCTACAGAGTTTCTTTATTATCTCCAAGCAGATGAGCTATAATGCCAGACCTGATTATGCAACTGTGATTATTTAATTTATTTAATTTATGCCTTCTATTACGTGGTTCGAGGTGACTCTGAGTGACTTGTAATAAAACATACAGATATAAAAACAATTGTAAATATAAAAACAGATTAAAATTAGAGAAGGTTAAAGCAAACTAAAAAGAAACAAACCATGTATTTGGAGCAGAGAGTGGTGGTGCCTTCTCTGTTACTGCACCAGCCACCTCCATCCATCAGCTTCTCCTTCAGGGTTCATGCCAACTAGCTCAGCTAAATTGAAGAGAGGTAGTAGATATTACCTGCTGTGTCAAGATGTCCCAAAGGGCAGGGGGGCATGGCAGAAAATTCTCTTCTGGACCCTATCAGCCACAATTCCTTGGCTGATGAGGTCTACAGTATGCCCCTTCTGGCAGCACGAGTGGGGCAGGTCAATCCCATTGAAGAAAGAAGGCTCCTGAGATAGCCTGGAACCCTGTTCCAGAGGGCTTTAAAGATAAGTGACCAACACCTTGGATTGGGCCCGGAAGTAGGTCTGAAGGCAGTGCAGTTTGCGTAACAATGGTGTTGACACTGCCTCCCATCCAGAACAAAAGATGATAAACCCCCCAATCCCAAGGCTCCACCTATCTACAGCCATTCCGTTTTACCAGGGTTCAGTTGAAGGCAGCCATAGTTATCTCTTAGATCACCAAGGATGGAGATGCAAAGCTGTGTCATAAGCATATTGATGATAACTCATCCCATGGTGTTGGATGATCTCACCCAGCAGTTTCATGTAGATGTTTTATTAAAGATTGGTTCCAGTCCATCCACAACATACCCTGCTGGAAAACATACCTTTCCTTTAGTGAGACATTTTGTCAATTAAACAAAGACCTAATCTGGAATGTAGAGTGAAACATTTTCTTATCCTTTGGGTGTTTTGTTTTGTAAGTCAGGGGTCCCCTACCTGTGGGCCACAGCCTACTACCAGGCCATGTCCTGTTGGCTGCATGAGTGGCTTGCCAGTGTTGGCGCATGTATGTGTGTGCACACACCCCACTCGCACTACCCCATTTGCATTGTGCTTGCGCTTGCAGCCCCATTCGCACATGTGCATGCATACATAAAGGCCCCTGCCCCTCCCCCCATTTCCAGGCCACCAATGCAGAAAGGTTGGAGAACTCTGCTGTAAGTCATATGGGCCAAAGTGTATCATCCAGTAGCTGTATGGGTTTGTTATAGGTAATATAGTATAATCACAATTAAATGCTTCACAAGTTTGTAATTCCCTAGTACAGTGTTGGCAAACCTTTTCAGCATGCACATGCCGGGAAGATGATCTTTTGGTTTCCGGTACGCGCATGCGCACTGGCCACCTGGTCTTCCGGTTTCTGGCGCTCATGCGCATGTGAAGACCACCTGGCCGGTGCGCATGCAAGCACCAGAAACTGGAAGATCATCTTCCCAGCACGCACATGCACACTGGGCGGCTGCTCTTCCGGTTTCCGGCGCTCCCGCGTGCATGAAGATCAGTTGGCTGGTGCACTGGAACCCGGAAGAGTAACAGGCAACAGTTCGTGTGCCCAGAGAGATGGCTCTGCGTGTCACTTCCAGCACATGTGCCATAGGTTCACCATCACTGCCCTATCTGTCCTTTTGTTTTTATTATAGTTTATAAAGTATTTTATATTAAAGTAGCACTATCATATGTATGTAATTTGGTTTTACTAATGAGGCTTTGAAGATGGCTTTATTACGCATTCATTCATATATATGTACATAATCCAGTGACAATGTGAGCTATTTAGCTATAAATCATTTTCCAGATAACTACTGGTAGCTAATTTATGTAAATCTGTTTACTTTATTCTTCTATAGCTTGCAAAAAACTTTAGGTTTGGATTCTCTGAATGATATTTTGGACACTAAACTTGTAAATCCAAAGGACATCATTCAGAATGTGTACAGTGTCAACAAACAAGGAACTGTCATTTTAGAAGATAAATCAAGTAAGTAGAACTTGTTTAATATGTTATAGTTTTGTTGGACTCTATTTAGGAAACAAATATATCTTGATCATTAATCTGCTCATTCAGTGGCAATAAAGTTCTGGGACAGATATGTCTAAAGAAATAAAAGAATTGGTGACAATTTGACTCATGAAATCTAGGAAGCTTTGATAATTCCAGTTACTCTTTGCTATCTTTCCTTGTACGTACCCTCCCCCAACTCTTAACTAAATCCAGGACTGAGAACAGCGCACCTATGTGGGAATGAGGGACAATGCTTTATAGTCACTCCATTTCTATCCTGAGGTAGATTTCCTTCAAATGGAAAACTATTATGGGTTGCCCCTCAAAGCTCCTCTAGTATTCCTCAGTGGCTACATAAACCTGCAAGAAAGGTTCAGGAGCCTTTGAACCAGGTATTCTCAAGAAATATCTTTCCACAATTTCTTCTTGAGGACAGTATGGCTTCCATGATCGTGGAACTACAGTTAAAAATTGGCTGGATAATAAATTAAAACTGAATCCATTAAGTGTTGTATGAGTTAAACTTTCTGCAAATATGTTTCACTGCAGTGTGCGCTGTTGAAATGATAAGCAGCATCCTTAGCGAAACCGAGTATATTCATTTGGGTTGTGCTTTTTAAAAAAATGCTTTTTATTACATAGAGATTATCTCTGTGCACCAAGAAACAGAATACTTATCATCTTATTCTGTTAAAAGTTATTGCTTTCTATTGCAATCTTATTACTGGTATTGTTTTTGTACTCTAAAATCATTTTCCTCAATGCCTACATGATCAATGAGCAGCAGCCTATAAAGACTCATATAATACACTTGATAGATAAGAACTAAAGGGGTGAAATATTAATCCTTCTATGGGGAGAAGGGTAAAATCATTAAATAAATAAATGCCTGCAGTTGTAATTTAAAACCCAATTTCTTTTGTCTAATAATTGCTAACATATTAAACCACTTTCAAAATTCTTCAATGCAGAAGAGGTTCCTCACTGGGTTCTATCAGCAATGAAATGCTTAGCGAACTGTGAGTATCTTTTTTTTAATTTCTGTATGTTGTTTGGAATTTACGCTTTCCCATTGATTTCAGTAAAGCAGAAACCCCTCATTCTTTTCTTTTTTAATAAACCGATTTTGATTTGTTTGATTTTGTTTTCCATCATAAGAGTTTTTCTAATAACAATATATTTTCTGCAACGGAGCTGGGAGGAAATCAATCTGCCACATAGCTTGTCTCATTCTCATCACCCATTGCTCCAAAGCTGCAGTTTATTTGAGTGGAGTATTTTCTGAGGAGTGGTCTGATGATGGGATTAATACAGGTGGTCCTCAATTTACAGCAGTTAATTTAATGATGGTTCAAAGTTACAACGGCACTGAAAAAAGGGATTTAAGACGATTTTTCACATTTACAACTGTTGCAGCATCCCCATGGTCACATGATCAAAACCAAACACTTGACAACTGACTCATACTTATGATGGTTACGGTGTCCCAAGGTCATGTGATCCCCTTTTGCAAATTTCTGACAAGCAAAGTCAATGAGGAAGCCAGATTCCCCTAACAACTGGGTTACAATCTCTCAACTGCAGTGATTCATTTAACAACTGTGAAAAAAGTTTTTTTTTTACAAAAAAAAGTTGTAAAATGGGCCATAACTCACTTAACAAATTTTTCACTTAGCAACAGAAATCTTGGGCTCAATTGTGGTCATAAATCAAGGATTACTTGTATTCTTGTGACTGTCTCTGATCCTCAGACACTAGGCCAGTCCTCGTCAAATTTTCTTGTGTCCTTGAATATTTAAGGTTACTGAGGAAGGCAGGATGAATCATGCTGAACTTTCTAAAAGTTGCTAATACAAGGTGAAGAAGAAATTTCCTTTTATATCATTCATAGATAATAATGCTAAAAGACTTAAGTTTAGCTTGGTTTCTTCAAATTGAAGGTGTCAGGTGGATTGCATACTTTTTTAAAATTGGTACTGTGACCTTTCCTATAAGTCAAATTAGAGTATGCTTAATTACTCAAAGGAAGGATGATCCTTTCATTCCATGTCTTACTTAATTTCACACATGGAGGCAACTTGGATCTGGTAATAAAGAGAACACAATGTTTTAAAGATTTTTGGAATGGTCATATTACACATGATGGATATATGAGAAAAAAAAGAATACTGAAGAAGGTATGTTTGCAAGTTGCTTTATGGCATGCTATAGTTTCAGGTAGTATGAGTATATTGTTTTTAGTTATAGTCATTCTCTACTATTAGAAAACCCTTTTAATTGTTCATCATGGTTACGCTTTGTGTTAAAAGATAATTCGGTTTAAATCGGGAATTATCTGTCTGGAGAGATGAGGATTAAGTTGCAGTGCTTTCAAACAGATAATTCCCTGGGTCTATTCTAAAGTGGTTTGGCTGTGAGAAATCTGTACCACAAACATTTAAACCACCCATTTTTTTAGTAAGTTCAAAACTATCGTGAAATTACGGAAGTTTATAAATAGACATATAGTGATTGCACAAGATTTTAGAAGGACACTAGCTTAAGTCCTTGTTAATGGTTTAATCACTATTTTCATTCCTATACCTATGTGACAACATAGTGTTGTTGTTGTCGGAACATCATTTCCACTGAGGTACGGTTGGCGCCCACCCTGTTGCTTTTCTGAAAGGCTTTAAAAATGTGGTTTTTTTCAGTGGGCCTGACAATCACAAATGGGGATGGAGCCAATTGTGTGGTTGATTTGATTGTGTTACACCTGCCATGGAGGTGGGGTGGGTTTTAGTTAATAAGTTTTTATTCTCTGGTGGATTTTTTAAAATTTTGTAAGCCACTCAGAGTCAGCTATGTGTGAGCTGGGCAGTTATACTTAACATTTTCATTATGACAGTACGTGTAAATTAGTGCCGTTTCTGCGAAATCCAACCAGGAAATCTTTTTTTTTTTCATTCTACTTTCCCCCTTTTCCATTCTTTTTAGGGCCCAGATGTCCAGATCTGAAACAGCCCACCTACTCAGGTTTTGAAAGAGATGTCTTTAGAACCATAGCAGATTATTATGCACACATGAAGGAGCCTCTTCTCACTTTCCAGTTCTTTGATGTTTTTGTCAGCGTGCTGGGTAAGTTATGCTATGAAAAACATATCTGGCAGGCTGAGTGCACAGTGCTTGTGCAGCAAAACTTTAGTGCTGTCCTTCAGCATCTTTCCTAATGAAAATGACTCCTTCTAGAACTTGATATTTTGAGAATAATTGTTATTCAATGGATGGACATCTAACAGAACACCTAAACATTCCTCTTTTTTAATTTGAACCTTCAGGATCCCCAATTACTATCCTTGTTTAGGAAGGCAAGCTTTCCTAAAGGAAGACTTCAACAGTGCAAATAATCCTGAGGCAGTTTATTCAGGGATTTCTCTGGAGTGCTGTTAGAGGAAAAATCAAACCTACTTTGAGCAGACTGGGGTAAGAGCCCATAATAGGGATTACTTCATGGCAGTAAGGCAATAAAATGTCAATATTTCCCCACCCATATTGTGTCTACTGTTTAGGGCAATTGGTCCCTTTTGGGCAGGGAGAGCCCCTCCAAACAATTGGTGGTCCTCTGTGAGGATTATTCAGGCTGATGGACAAATCTTTCAGATTCTCTCTGCCTTGGACTCGGCAGAGCAGGCTGAGGTGGCTGATGCATGGTCTGGTGGTATGATCTGGAATGAGATTGGGTTGATGACACCTGAGGAAGTAGGCAGGGCTCTCTGTGCTATGAACTTGGCCATCTGTTTATTGGATTTGAGTCCTCCTTGGGTTGTGAAAGCAATTAGGAAAGTGACCTGCAGTTAGAGTCATGCTATAATATCAGCCTCTTTCATGAGGGAGTGGTGCCCGTAGCTTTGAAACAGTCATTTTTTTTTTTAATTTGATTTATATGCCGCCCTTCTCCGAATACTCAGGGCGGCTTACAATGTGCTCAGCAATAGCCTTCATCCTTTTGTATATTTATACAAAGTCAGCTTATTGCCCCCACAAACTGGGTCCTCATTTCACCTACCTTAGAAAGGATGGAAGGCTGAGTCAACCTTGAGCCTTGGCGAGATTTGAACCCTGCAATAATTGCAGGCAGCTGGTCTTAATAAGCTTAATAACAGGATGCCTTAAACCCCTGTACTACCAAGGCTCTTGGTAGTACCAAGTCATGGGGCATTCCCTCCTCAACAAGATGACTTTGGCTCCAATACATTTGGGAAAAGTCATTGAAAAGGTAGTTGATTTTGTAGCTGATGAGAACGCTGGAGGAAATGCATTATCTAGATGTCAGGTTTCATGCTGGGATTTAGCACTGACACAGCTTTGGTTGTGCTGGTAGGTGATCTGTGGTGGAGCTGGGATAATCACAGTGCATCCAGCGTGCTAATTGGTGGTTTTCAATGCAATAAATCATGATATCCTTCTGAGCTGCCTTCACTTCGTAGGTTAGGGATTGGGCCTCCATTTTATGATGGTTCTCTTCCTTTCTCTGAGACAGTAACAGTCAGTGTTTCAGGGTGGAAAGAACAAGCCTTTCCTTTGTCGGTACCACAGAGTTGTCGTCCCTTTCTCCTTCTTTTCAACATCTGCATGAACCTGCTGACTGAGCTTATCCATTAGCTTGGGGTTCAATATTGTCAGTACCTTGATCATATTCATGTATATTTTTTGAGTCCAGGCTGACCAAGTGAGACTGTTGAGGTTCCAATGCCTGTAACCTGTGCAGATTTGGATGGGAAGGAACTGTGTCCAACTCAATCCTACCAAGATTGAGTGACTGGATTTTCAAACTGATCAGATCTGAGAATATTTATATTTGACCTTAGATGGAACGGGCAGTTCCCCATTAAAGGACGGTGTGCAATTTGGTGATTGTCTCCCATATCTACCCAGCCAATGTGATCTGGCAAAATTAACAATTAACAATGCCATCTACTGGGACCTCAGAAGCACATCTTCACCTAGGCCCTTTTTTTTGTATCATTCCACTTTTGTCAATTTTGTCGTTGTGGTTGTTGCTGCTGCTCTTTTTGTTTTCTTGCTTTTAAATATTTTTAGTATGTGTAAACTGCCCAGAGCCTCTGAAATTGTGTGGCAGAATTTCAGAATCATTACTTCAAAACAATTATCTTCATGCCAGAGACAATTCAGCAATACCATAAAACATAACATAACACCTCAAACATCTTCTTTGATTGTTCTGATTAACCCTATAATTAGTATAATTATGTCCTATAGTTTTTCAGGAATTTTGTTGATCTTACTGAATAATTTCATCACCAATGCCAGGGTGATACTCTTTTAAGAATTAGTATCACTTCTTTCTTTTGTAGACAAAAAAAGTTCTTTTATTTCCCACTAAACCACATTTTATTTGTTTGGGTGGTAAACAATTTTATACAAGTCAGAAAGCGAGCAAGAAATCATAAACCAAAGAAAATAAAGGCATGACCTGAAAAGAAAACCTAGCAAAAACTACTTTATACTAGTAATGTTCACTATTCTTCTCTCAACTTTTCTGTTCTACCACATCCATATCCTACTTCATACATTGCCTTTATTCTTTTAATCTTCATCTCTTTTTGTTTGAGGACTTTAACAAAATAAACGTGTCTTAGTTTTTTGACCTAAGACCTCTTGACCTTAGTGGTACATGGAGCATACTGACACACATTCAAGGGATCTGTATATTGACACTAACATCATACTTAGGCATATACACAAATGTTCTGCCTTCAGTTGTGCTGTTAAAGTGTGGGCCAAGCAATTGTCGTCATGGAAATGGCTGTTACCTGATTGTCACAATTCCCCATTCTACCTTTCCATAAAATTTTGTCCGAAATTTAACACTGAAAGATTCATGTGAGAAATGTTGGAAACTGTTAATAAAAATATATCAACAATGAGTGGATAATTATCAGTCTTGAAAACATCATCATTATTTTCAAATATAAGTTATGTAGATGATAATTAAATACCAGACAATTTCAGACAGAAGAACCAGTTTTGTTACTCTCCTTGTTTCTGTTCCAGTTGTAGAACTGTTAGCCATTCTAACTTATGCCTAAAAATAAACAATTATCTTGGGATCTTGTTCCATGTAGAGCTTGCTTTTCTATTTTGCCATGTGCTAAATTGATCTCCCATCAGCTTCGTACCAGATTCCTTGGCCTAACTTGGATTTGACTCTCTTTCTCCTCACAAGGCATGCTGTTTCTACTGTTTCTACTAGTTACAGTTTGTTGCTAGTTAAAAGTTCGTAAACCTTTGAATTTTTTAATATTTCCACATAAATATGATCTAAAACATCATCTATGCTCCACACAAGTCCTAAAACTCGATAAAGAGAATCCAATTCAATATTTGAGTCAAAAACATACTTATTCAATGATTTATTAAAGTAAATGATCAGTTATATACTTCTGTGTAGCAAGTATGTGAACCTTTGCTTTTAGTCACTGACATTTTGCCCGTTGGGCAAAAATAACTGCAACTAAACATTTCTAATAGTTGATCAGTCCTGCTTGGAGGAATTTTAGCCCATTCCTCCATTCTGACAGCTTCAACTCAGGAATGTTGATAATCTTGCCTCCATGAAATGCCCTCTAGAAGAAATAACTTTCTTTTGTTTTAACCATTTTTTTGATCGTATGATCTATGTATTTTGGGTCATTGCCTTGCTCATAACCCATTTTCTCTTGATCTTCAGTTGATGGGGAGATACCATCATATTTTCTTGCAAATTTTTCTGGTAAAATTCAGAATACATAGTTCCATCTATGTTGGCAAGTTATCCTGGTCCAGAGGAAGCAGAGCAGCCACCGCTAGGTTTATGCTGCCACCGCTAAATTTATGCTGGAATCCAAAAAGTTTGCTTTTTGACAAACATAATGCTTTTCTTTCAAGCCAAAAGATTCTAGTTTGGTCTCATTCATCTACAAAACTTTTCATTAGCTTTCTAGCTTATCCATGTGGTGTTTCACAAAATGTAGGCAGGCAGCAATGTTCTTTTTGAAGCCTTTAGTTCCTTAGACATTACATTGGGCTTTTGGGGGACCTCTGGAGTATTACATGCCTTTTTAGGATATTGTTTTGACGATAAGCTATAACATGGTTTGTTTTATTTTGAAGTTTTTTATTGGTGAATCTATGCACTGTGGTTTATTCAGAGAGGAAGGATTCATCAGATCATGGTTTAGTACAGAAATAGATCAGATCTGTAAATTCCATTCAAATGCAGAGTTCCACAGGAAAGATAAATTTCCAATTATTTCAGCAGCACGGCCATTCTATATAGACAACTTATCCAAGTAGGATAATCTAGGAATAAGCATAAAATACTGTAGGTAACTTTTTAAAATTGGAACATAACCATCCACTTTGCTAGCTACTCTCAGAACTATTGACTTGTCTACGTTTCCTTGTAACCAGGGCCAGATTTAGATGAAAAGAGGCCCTAGGCTATTCCACTTATGAGGCCCTTTCACCTATAGTAAAAGTGTAATTTTAATTTTGCTAACAATTTGAATGTAGGCCCCTCTTGATCTTGAGGCCCTAGGCTGAAGCCTAGTTAGCCTATAGGAAAATCCGGCCCTGCTTGTAACGAAACTCCAAATACCTTATGTGGTGTTTAACCTCAAAAGAAAAATTGCTGAATGAACATTCCTGTTCTGTAAAAGTTTGCAACACTTGAAATTACCTAACTTGAAGTTGGAACAGCCCATTTCACTGCTGTTTTCTCAGATAGTTTTGTTTCCAGCTAAGAATATGCAGTATAGTACTTCTAAAACTCAAAATATTTTGTGTAAATCTTTTCCTGTTTTATGAATATTAACAAAACTTAAATTTATAGCTGCTTTAAAGGTTTGCATGAAGAACCTCCAAATCAGTCTGGAGATGATAATGCTCAAGGACAAACTACGCTTGAACTATCCTTTTATTTCCACACCAGTGAGCGTGAATGTCCAACCCCCTCATTCAGAATGTCTATAGCAGGGGTGTCAAATTCAAGGCGTGGGGGCGGGATCCAGCCTGCAGGGTGCTTAGATCTGGCCCGTGGGGTTGCCCTGGGAACAGCGAAGGGCTGGCTCACAATGCCTCTGCAAGTGAAAGCAGCCCTCCTGAGCCCCATTTTTGCTGGCAGAGGGTTGCAGGAAGCCGCCACAGCAAAAAACGGAGTTCAGGAGCCCATTTTCACTGGCAAAGCACTCGGGCCATGACAGGCACCCCAACATGAGTGATATTGAGCTGGTCACGCCCACTCTGGTACCCTGAGATCAAACACAACAACCCTGATGCAGCCCTCAATGAAATCGAGTTTGACACCCCCAGTCTACAGAAATAATCTGAGGATAATCTCAGAGCCCTGGAAATAATTCTTAATCAGCATAAAAACTTGAGGACAAAATGGCTTAGATTCTCTTCCTCTTCAGGTTGTCAGAAAGTATAATCTTAATTTATTTGCAGTATTACTTTGTATTATGGTTATATTACTTACAAATATGACTTTGTAAGCATAATAAAAACATTCCCCAGAAAAGATCAGTAGGCATACCTCAAATGTTTTTGGGTGATGAAAATAGTTCAGCTTGAAGCTTTTAATGTTGGGTCCCAACATACATTTCCTTTTCCTTACAGCTTGTATTTGGAATGCAAAAATAATAATAATAATTATTTATTTATTTATTAGTCATATTTCTATGCCACCCACTCTCCGAGGACTCTGGGCGGCTTACACCAAAGACAGTATACTAAATAGCATATTGCCCCCAACAATCTGGGTCCTCATTTTACCCACCTTGGAAGGATGGAAGGCTGAGTCAACCTTGAGCCGGTGAGATTTGATCCGCTGATCTGCTGAACTAGCAGTCAGCTGAACTAGTACTGCACTCTAACCACTGTGCCACCTCAGCTCTATAAATTTAACAAAGTGAATGCTAAATTCTCATTTTCAAAGAAACTCAACATTGAAGTGTTTTAAAAAAAAAAAACTTAAGAACACCTTTTAAAATCATGTTTTGATTCAGGAATCTTGCAGGAAAAGAAGCTAGCTACTGAAGCCTTGCAGATTTGTTGTCTTCTTCTGCCACCAGCAAATCGGCGAAAACTACAGTTGTTGATGACGCTAATGGCTAAGATCCAGTCAAATAAAGATCTTCCACCTCTTTCAGACACACTTGGAACAAGAGCAATGGTGTGTGTCTGCCGGAAATAGAAATACATTATGAAATCACTTTGGAATTGCTCTGGGGGAGACTCTACTTAGTTACAAAATAATGACTTGTTCTAGAAATAGTAGTAATCTGTGCAACTCAGGGTGTGGTTTGCAATATGCTCTTCTCTCCTTCTGCTAGTATAACTCTTTAGTTAAATCCCCAGGCTGAATTTCACTGCTAAAATAGATGGAAGCTGGCAGAACTCTTCCCACCTATTTCTCACCACAGTCCTTGTAACTTTTTTGCACTGCTTGCTCAGTGATGTGCCTAGTTTTTTTTTTTTTTTTAGTTTATTACCCTCTTTTTAAAAAAAAAAAGGCCCCCCCCCCCCCAAAAAAAAAGACTTTGGAAAGGGAATTGAATGTAAGGGAAAATATGTTAATTTTCTTTCTTTTCTTTTCTTTTGTTAGGTATTCTATCCTTAAGTTGATACCATCTGAACATGTATATATGAATCAGTGGGCTACAAGAACTGATATTGATCAATGTAATAGCAGGCCTCCAGTATCAGTATCAGATCAGTTTATAAATACTTAAAATCATTGGGTTGGGAAGAATCTTGAAAGTCACATAGCCTCTGGCTCAATGCATGATCTACAGTACAAGATGTAGTAGCAACTTCCATCACTTATGGGATAATAAATAACACATTCAAAATATATTGTGAGACCTGATCTCATTGATTTCCTCTCCTTTGTTTCAGATGGTTCAAACCTTTTCTCACTGCATTCTTTGCTCCAAGGATGAAGTAGACTTGGATGAATTATTAGCGGCTAAATTGGTATCATTCATGATGGACAATTATCATGAGATCTTAAATATTCCTTCAGCCTTAAAAACTGCAGTTGAAGAACATATAGCACATCTCCGAAGAGTCCAGGTGAGCCTTATGGGGTTGAATTTTATTGTCCTATATATAACTTTTTAAGTACATTTTGAAAACCTGCCTAAATAAGCAGATTAAAGTTTTCTTTGTAGAACTGCTATTATCCCTCCTTTAGTTGACAGCACATTATACGAATTCATATAAATTAGGTTGTTGTGTGTGAGTTTGGAAGTAGGAAATCAGAGGATGGTAATAGTTCTATATTATACTACAGTGAATGGTGATAATGGAAGAACTAGATATGAGTTCTGAGTAAATTATGCAATGTTCTGAATGACTATGAATGAATAATTGTCCCAGTTGGCATAGACGTTTGGGTGAGTACACAAGGCATTCAGAAATCCAAGAAAGGGAAAGGTGACAGTTTGATGAGTATCTTTTTAAAGGAAACAATTTCGTTTCAGGTATGCCGTGTAAGCAATAACTTATTCATGGATGCGCATGGTTAAGAAATGAATATACAGTAGTTCTAAGAGTAAAATTGACTGTACCAAAAGATTGAGTTGATTAGTAAAGGATTGGGTGGTGATGATAATTTTCTAAATTATTGGAACAGTTCATTTTTTTGGTAGAATTAAGAGTGGATCATGGGGGAAAATGGACATGGCAGAAAAGGAAACAAGAGAAGCAAAAGTGAAGTTACATCAACTTCAGGAGGAAAACATATGAGTCCTATATGTGAAAATATTAGAAGATAGATTAATATCTCAAGGGATGAAATGGAAAATGGATTTAATAAAAGAGAATGTAACACTGTTAAGAAGAGAGTAAAAACAAACATGTTCAGATTACCAGGGAGTTGGGTCGAGTTGTGCTAATGGGATATATGTGATCTCATGAAATATGAAGTGCAATAGTGAAGCGAAGGAAGCCATGGATTAAGAAAGCACACGCACATATAAATAAGAGAATGATTTTTGCACAATAGAGAATGAGAGATAGCATAAAATGTATGTTTAAAAAAAAGATAGTTGTAAAGAATGTAGTAGTCTCAAGAGGGCATGAAGCAGTTAATATTAAAAGAGCCAGAGAAAACGCATAGCAATTTCAATGGAAATGTACGATTTATAAATAGGTGAAGAGATCTAAACAAAAAGCCTCAGGCTAAGTGAATAGAATTTCAACAATTAACCCATTGATCGCCCACAATTATTTTATTGGACAAATACTGTTGGGCAAAAAAAAACAAGTTGATGACAGGAGATGGGAATCATACATATCTCCCATGGGAATGTATTCCAAAATGTGAGGTTATCACTAAGAAGCCCTGATGGTGCCTATACACTTGCATCTCACATAGGGGAAAAAACATTCAAAGGGCCTTCTCTAAATATTTGAACTGGGTGCATTTCTGATAAATCCTACCCCATACCACATAGGATTTTATATGTAATTGTTAGCATTTGTATCTGGAAGCAACAGTACAGTGATCTCAAGATAAGAGCAATTCCACCAGAACAAGTTTTTCTTGCTAACCAACTGGTCACTATATTTTGCATTAATTGCAGCTCATGACTTATCTTCAAAAGCAACCACATAAAACACATTGAAGTAGTTTAATTGTGCAATGATCAGGGCATGAGTTGTTGTCACAAGGATTTCATAGTCCAGGTACAGTCATGACTGACACACTAGTTATAGCTGGGCTGGGCAAAGGTCCTCTGGCCACGGCTTCTCTCTGATAACATGGAATGGAGGAATATTGGGAAGAATATTTTAGAGATGTTGTTATAGAGCTATTAGGGAAGTGTTCAAGAGCGAAATGAACGCTATAAATCAGGGATCTCCAACCTTGGCAACTTTAAGCCTGGAGGACTTCAACTCCCAGAAGTCCACCAGGCTTAAAATTGCCAAGGTTGGAGATCCCTGCTATAAACAATTAGTGTCCAAGTAAAAAAAAGTTGTAAAAAGTTGCAAGTATGAATGCAAGAACATCAGGGTAATGAGCTTATTAAATATGGCTACGAAGATGTTTCTCAGAATTCTAATTAAACACAAGAGATGACAGTAATCAAAACTAGGAAGTGCTGTTGGAAAAATAGCTGATCTGTTATGCAAAATGAATGTATGTCAAAAGAAATAAAATGTATGTTTATTAGAGTGCTAACGCCAACTTCGGTATATGAAAGTGAGAACAGGGTTCGCTCAAAGAACCATAAAAGTCAAATGCGGTCAGAATCAGGTACTTAAAAATGTGTGGGAAATAAGAAGACATAGGATCAAGAATGAGTCTGGACTGAAGGCAAACGTGAAATGCATGGAGCAATGAATGGACTGAGAACACGAGAAAGACCAACAAAGTCTTGGATGGATGAAGTGGATGGGATCCAGAAAAAAAAGAAAGACAAGAAGTTTAAAGAACAAAAATTGGTGTATGAGTTGAATGTGAAGGAAGCAAGAATAGAAAACTGTGATAAGATATCGTGAATGGTATTGGTGTAAACTTGTTTTAGTTCTGTTTCCTTTTATTTCTATTTTCTCATGCCTTTAAATGAGTTGGTTTAGTGTTGTGCTATGTATAACATTATTTACCTTGAAATAATGTTATAATGATATTGTTGTTGTGTTAAATTGTGTTAAATTTAAATAGTTTGTTGCAGATGCCTGCGAAGGCTCCTGGATTGGGGCTGACAGGCAAAAGCGAAAGTAGTATGTTCCGTTTCATATTTGGGTAGACCAGGTTGCTCTGATAGACCAGTCTCACTGGAAAAAACACTTGATATAGCTGTTGGTTTTATACTGTTGAGTGTGATTTTATTGGGTGTAAGCCACCCAGATGTTTTAAGATGGACAACTACATATATAATTTAATTAATTAATTATGCAAGTATGTATGTAGGGGGTATGTTACAGATTAACTAAGAGAGTCAGTTAGGAAACATCTGATCATTAAATTAATTTATGAACCCCTTGACAGATTGAAATGTGTCCACAAGTATTTTCTTCCTTCCTTCCTTCCTTCTCTAAAAAAACTTTTTATAATTAAATGAAGATAACTATCACAATTAAAATATAAACATTCTCTCCTCTCTTTCAATCAAATGTAATATGTTTCCTATAGCAATGAATTTCAAAACAAAGGCTTATCATTCAAAGCCTTTCAGTAGTCAATTTTGCTTCAAGTGATAATAGTATATTTCACCTGCCTTCAATTCATAACATTCATTAATCGTAGAGATAAGCAGAAACAAATTCTAAATGTCTTCTTGTGTGTTTGTGTAAAATTCAGATAAAATATCCAGAATCGGATATAGATGCTATTTTGCCAGTGCCATCATTTTGTCATCAAATCAGCACTGATGAGTTTGAACACCAAAAAACAAATTGTCGTCAGGGGCCACTGGCAAATTTGTTGGAAGAAATCACAATGAATATGGAAATGTCCATCAAAGAAAAGAAGAAAAGGTTGAAACGGGTAAATGAAACTGTTGATTTTTTTCCCTTCAATTTTGCTGAAACATTTACGTAATTCCCTTTTTATAGATAAGTTGGAAAGTGGATTCATATTAGGTTCTTTGATTTATATTTATTTATTATTTTAATTTATTTATCAAATGTACATAGTTCCCATTTTATGGAAAGTGCCTCTGGGCACAACAATAACAAAAACAATAAATATAACAATATAAAATAATAATTACTCAACCATTAATTGTGAAAAACATATCCAAAATAATAATTATGAAAAATCGATTCACACTATAAAACCAGAACCAAACGAGAAAAGAAAATAATAGATCCGTGATGGCGAACCTATGGTACGAGTGCCAGAGGTGGCACACAGAGCCCTCTCTGCTGGCACACACGCCGCCACCCCAGATTAGATCTCTGTGACGTTTCTTTCGTGGGCTTCTGTTTCCCTGGAAACGACGAAACAGAAGCTCATGAAAGAAAAAGATCTTACCTCTTGCCGCAGTGCCGGTGTTGGGATGCCCAGTCTCCCGCCGGCCAGCTGGTCTTCGGATCTCTACTGCGCACGCACGCACGCGCACATTCACACATGCACACATTCACACGCACACACACCCCTTTTAGTTTGGGCATGAACGTGGGTGGTTTGAGCACTCGGTGCCTAAAAGGTTCGCCATTACTGTAATAGGGGAATGTTAAGAATAACGGAACCACCACACAAGTTGATCCATCCTTAGGGTCTTCAAGCCTACTGGCAGTCTACAAGTAGTCCTCGACTTACAACAGTTCATTTAGCTCAAAATTACAACAGCATTGAAAAAAAGTGGCATATGACCGTTTTTCACACTTCCGACTGTTGCCATATCCCCATGGTCCCGTGACTCTTGATAACTGACTCATATTTATAACAGTTGCAGCGTCTCAGGGTCATGTGATCACCTTTTGCACCCTTCTGACAAGCAAAATCAAGTGGGAAGCCAGATTCACTTAACAACCATATTACTAACTTCACATGGTTAAGTGATTCCCTTGACAACTGTGGCAAGGAAGGTCATAAAATGAGCTCTGGTGGCTCAGCAGAATAATTAACATCCACTTACATCTGCTGCCTGCAATTACTGCAAGTTCAAATCTCACCAGGCTCAAGGTTGACTTAGCCTTCCATCCTTTCTAAGGTAGGTAAAATGAGGACCCAGATTATGGGGGCAATAAGCTGACTTTGTATAAATATACAAAAGTATGAAGGCTATTGTTTAACGCATTGTAAGCCGCCCTGAGTCTCCGGAGAAGGGCGGCATATAAATCAAAATAAATAAAATAAAATAAAATGGGGTAGCACTCACTTAGCAAATGTCTCACTTTAGCAACAGAAATTTTGGGCTCAATGGTGGGTCGTAAGTTGAGGACTACCTGTATACTGGCTTTTCATCCAGCTTGAGCTGTTGGCACAGGGTACAGTCAATGAAGTGCTAAAGATACTAATAAAATTCAAGACATGAAACCAGTGCAAACAAACTATAAGAATGAATGAAAGAGATGTATTTGGGTCTCCTCTAAAGGAAGAGATGGTGGATGCCAAATATAATTCATTATCTTCTTTGCCATTAGCTTCTAGAGGAAAGGCAAGGTGTAAATTCTGAGCCACTTTTTTAACAGCAAATATGTTGACGCATTCAAGACTGAATATAACCAAGATGTGCATCATTGCTACTAAATCTGACCAGCGAACAAATGGTTGAAGTTGGCACACCAACCATAATTGTGCAAATGCATTCCTTGTCATCATTTTGCACCTTAATCCAATGATAGCTGAGATCAGCAAGCATTCTCAGAAATGAAATTGCTCTTTCAATAGAAGAGCAACCTCAAGGGAAAATGGCTAAACCACAAATTCTATATTGACCAGTCGCACCTTCATCTACTCTGAATTGAATTTCAAAATCGTTCTCTCTCTTCCAATCATACATTCTTTTTTTTTTTTTGTTTCCATTTAGCCTTTTTTTAGTTGCTCCAGGAAGCCATTATAGCAGTTCATTGGGTGTACTAAGTCTTCTTTTCCCCCCCTGAAATTTCAGATGATGTTTTGGAAGCTTTCACAAATCCGAATCCTGGTAGGATTCTGGGCCATGTGATAGGCTCCACACATATAAAGGCCTTCTCTACAGACGCTTAAGTGATAAGGCAAGACACTTGTGGGTTCCTCAGAGATGGGCTATAGCTCTGTTCAGAGTTTTGCTGATGGCTTATTACTATAACAGAACAACACTAGGATCTTTTTAAATATATGTTGAATAAATCTTAATTCTGATCCTGCAGCTTATCAGTTTTTCCACAGAATTATTCCTTTGGAAACATCTGTAGCGCTGACTAGAAATGGTATGTTCTGTAGCTGAGGCAATACATTTTGTTGCGGCAAGTGCTAAAAGCCTTGAGGGAGATGGATGGTCTAGATACATGAAATATAAATAAATCAGAAACATTGCCAAAGCAACTGAGGAGACTTTAATAAACTTAAATCCCGATCTGATCAAGACAGAACTGATAATCTACCTTTATAGAATCTTAGAATTCCTCCCTACAGATACACAACACACATGCAGACAACCTTTAGGAATTTACAACTCAAGTGCAAAGCCATACATGCATTAAAAACATTTCTCCCATTTAATGCATAACACAAAACCTTGACAGCTGTTCAGGTTTGCCATGTCTTAAGTGGGATCAGAAATTGCCCAATATTTATTTTAGTTTTCCATAATATCAACAGCAACACAGATGCATCAATAAGGGAAATCTTTTAAAATTGGTGGTTCTTAGGATTTTCCTTAATATTTAAATATATTTTTTTTTCCTAGAATGTTTACAATTTGTAAATATTAGTCCTATTGCAGGTGCTCGTAGCTTATAAAAGATTGTAAAGAATCAAACATATTTTATTAGTTATTTATTTATTAAGTTTATATTCTGCCCATCTCGCTGACAAGCAACTCTGGGCGACTTACAAGCATATTCTTAAATGTGAGGCAAGAGCCTATAAATATGAATTTGGTTACCAAAATTATTCTGTTTTAGTCTTCATATTAAATAATATAGTCTCATCATGGCTTAATCATTTTGGTTGAATTTACAGCAATGAAATAGTCACAGTATTTCTGTTTTAGAACAAAATGGATATATATGTGTGTGTATATGTATATTTGGGTTGTAGAGATAACAAAACAGCAAGATTGTTGCAGGGAAAATAAGAGGAGGAAAGTCTATTGGATATGTTTGCTGTCTTGAATTATTTGTAAAAATAATACAGGTGGGATACAAATAAATAACTTAAGTACTATAGAGTGTGCTATACAGTTTGACAAAATATGTCACATATTTCTTTTTTACAGTGAGTTTTCAATATTTTCCACTGTAGAATTCTTACTACATTGTCTGCTTTTAGTGAACTAGTAAACAACTTCCTTAACCCAGGTCATTCCTTTTCAGTTTCAGAAATCTTATCCTGATGTATATAAGGAACGTTTTCCTACTCCTGAAAGTGAAGCAGTTCTTTTTCCAGAAAAAAGTAAACAGAAACCACTGTTGACGTGGGCATTTAAAAGACCTTTCCAGCCATTTCAAAGAACAAGAAGCTTACGCATGTAAGACTGAATAAGCTGAATGTCTATAATGGTCAAAATTAAACCTTTGGAACATCTGGAATTCCACGTAGGTTCTGAAACATGTTTAATAAAGAAGAAAATCAAGGCAGAACACTGCTAAGCTGAGCCATTATCACTATTTAGGAGGAAATCCCTTGGTGCTTTTTCATTTTGTTTATTTGTTTAAGTCGGGGTTGGGAAATAATGAACAGGTTCAGATGATCGTATCCTAGCATGTGGAAGTAAGAGAGTTCTTTTGCTTACACCTGTAGCCTGATTGTGCAAGTTGCAGTTAAACCAAGAAGTCTCTGAAAATCTTTGTTTCTAGTATCGTCCAAATTGAGTTATTAAAATAATATCAAAAACACTGGAGGTATTCTAGTATTATCCTAGTGGTTGGGTAAAACTGTGATGGGTAAAACATGTTTTTACGGCTTGCTGAGTAAACTATATTTAAGACAAACATTAGTTTAGAGGAATGTGTGAACCCAGTAGCCATCCCTAGAGAGTAGATAAATAGTAATTTTCTATTCTTCCTGTTGAGGTCTGAAGTTACCTTGAGATCCTGAGCAGTTGTAGAGAGGCACAGAACTTGGGCTGAGTTCACCAAATGGCCTCTGCTCAACAAGCCTCCCTTACAGATAGTCCTTGACATACGACATCAATTAAACCCAAAATTTCTGTTGCGAAGCAAGATAGTTATTAAGCGTGCTTCACCCCATTTTATGACCTTTCTTGCCACTGTTAAGGGAATCACTGCCGTTATTAAATTAGTAACACGGTTGTTAAATGAATCTGGCTTCCTCATTGAGTTTGCTTGTCAAAGGGGCATAAAAGGTGACCCTGGGATACTGTCATAAATACATGCCCATTGCCAAACCTCTCAATTTTGATCATGTGAGCATACCTGCAATTAACTATGTAGAATAGAGTGTGCCATCCTCTTTTTTTTTTTTGAAATAATTTTTATTACAATTTTCCTTTACACAACTTTAGTACATATAGTATAATACAGTGTGTCATCCTAATAATAGAACTGTTCACATTAACTGCCTTAATGAGGCCTGCACAGTAATTCAGAAGTTTCTGAAAGTGTCAGCGCTGTGCAAACCATGTTAAAGCAGCAAAATGCATCGCTTGGCCACAAGGCACTATTCTGGAAGTGGCAGCAATACCAAAATGCAATTCAGCAGCTGGAAACATGGCAGCTGTTTCCAGAATCACGCCATGCGGCCGTGCAATTAAGTAATTCAGTCCAGCCCTCTGGAAGGCCTCAGAGTTCTTCAAAAGGTAAGTGACGAGAAGGGTGTTTGGTCTAATAGGATGGGAATCGAGTTTAAGGCCTAGGGAGACCTGGTGGAAATGGGGAAAGGCCTGTGGGGACCCAAGGGGCAGGAAACAGAGTATGGGACATTTTGGACGATGGGGGAAGCCTTGGGAGAGCCAGGACAAGCAGGGCTAGGCCTGCTTGTCCTATGCTAGGCCCCCCAACAGCCTCCCCCAACCCTGAGACACCCCACGTTCCGCTTCGACATGTACTGATTCGACATTTAATGACTCATTGGGAGAGCTGGGAAAGAAGAGTCATTAGTTGAGTTTTTCATTTAATGACCATTGCAACATGCGACTGTAATGCCCAGGTTTTATTTCAGTCATATCTCAAGGACTATCTGTACTTCAAGAGGAATCATTGATTTGCATATTTTATAAAGTCTACCATTATGACTTAGTCAGTGAGCCATACTTTGTACCAGTCATGGCCTAATTAGGCTTGTGATCCCACTCATTTCCTGCAAGACTCCTGTTATTTTCTACACACACACCCTATTTTAACATTTTCTATCCCTGTCTCAAAAGAAGGTAGTGAAACGGACTCAGACATGAAGACTTCATCTGTCTTTTCCAATCTATTTCCTAAATGATCCAAGTACAATCAAAGAGATTTAGATGTTTATATCTTGCCTTTCTCATTCTTGAATGAATCTAATAGTGTTTGAGTTTACTCAATACACAAGATGGTTAATTTTTTTTTCTGTAGTTTCCTAAACAAACCATATTGGCCTGTGTCATGTCACTGGCAATGGCTAATGTAATAAAAGATTTATGCTTATTAGTTCCTTCTGAATCTTAAACGAATTTTCATGTTTTTAAAGTTTTCAGTATTTTCCACTGTATAATTTTCCAATTTGGACAAAATGAATATAAATGGTTACTTAGAGACGTCAAGTTTAATTGCTGCTTGCATTTTCGTTTATTAACTTAAGATGTGATTGTCTAATGCTATCCATAGGGTAACAATTACTACTGTACCTGTTACGGGAGGATCTGAAAAGAATTTTTCACGAAAAAACAAATTGTACTTGTAGGCAGCACTGAATTTTCAGAAGGGGGAAAATGTTTTATTTGCTTGAATGAACTTGAAACACTGGATCTTGTTCTGCTGACTAGGTAAAACTTTATACTGTTGGTCTTAACAAGCAACACAATGGATATGTTCTTACAATCCTGAGCAAGAATTTCAGAAAAGAACTTTGGAGAATGAAGCCTTTTAAGACATTACCGGTGTGATATTTCTGACACAATACCAGACTGACTTATGGGAAGCAATCTGGCTGTATCTAAAAGGCAGAAACAAGAAGTCTACTAATCATGTTTCACATCCTTGCAAAATGTGTATATGGTTTATTCATACTATATATACTTTATTCAGAGAGATTATTTTATGCAAGTTATTTAATATTGGAGATAAGTTTTGAAATGGGAAATAATAGTCTACTTGAAAATAGTCATTTGTAGGTCTTAAAGCGATTTCTTCTAGATATGTGCCCTTGTTGAACTGAGCTAGGACAGCTTAATTGTGCTTCTGTTAATATGATTACGCCTTAAGTATATAATAAGATTCTCTTTCTGTAATATTAAAATCACTTTTCCACAGAAATTTTTGAATGAATTGTGGGGACATAGACTCAAGCTTTGGAGAATGATGGATGCATGGGTTTTATATCTTTGCCATGATAGCACCTAAAAAGCCACCATATCTCCAAACCAGGGAGTGCAGTGGCTCCAGAGGTTAGGACACTAGATTAATGATCGGTAGCTCCCATTCAAGACCTTGTTGCTGCCACAGGATGTGGTGAAATCCCAGCACACGCTTCAGCTGAGTAGATAAATGGGTACCACTTTGGTGGGCAACTTAATGGAGACATGAAAGGAGCTTCCAACTGGGCATCCCCCATGCAATAGTCAATCATTTCAACCCAGAAGCATTTCGGTGCTTCCAACATGACTATAGTAGTATCTCCAAACCCATTTGTGTTAATCTTTTGTCATCACAGAATAATCCAGAAATGGAGAAGAAAGTTAAAGTCTTTTACCAAGTGAACAAACTACTGGAGTATTTTCTTAGGCAGAAGTATAAATCTCATAACCCCAAGTGGCTGTCCCACTCATTGCATCAGACTCAGAGTTTGCCAAATTCTGTAATTTACAATTGCAGGTCTTGCATTTATAAAATTACTGCTGCTGCTCAGTTCCAGTAAGGCACAGTCAAAATTTAAAACAATGGTTCTTAATGATACGCCCTCCCAATTTTTTGACTTTGAATTGTTGATTTAGTTTGTAAAAAGTGCATTTGTATATGCACAAAAGAAGCAGATTTGTTCAAAGGCATCCAATTCAATTTAACATTGGAGCTGAAGTTTTGATTTGAAAAGGGGAGTTGACTCAATTGCCTTCATAATGAATCTCTGAATCACAGATTCATTCAGCTTAGCATGGTTTTAAAAACAAAGAGTTGCCCATGCAACCACAAGAGAAAACTGGAAATTTGTGCCCTATTCATGTATCTCTACCACTTTATTCTATCAACCATCTGCTGACTTTGCTGGAAAATGTTAAGTATGGTTGCCATCCATTCAAAGGTTGCCCTTCATTTTTTGCCCGTATTCTAAATGTGGATAGATATGTGTAAAAGTAAACATAATTTAAGAAAAGGGCATAACAAAAGACAAGGCACTGAATTGTCTTATGAACTTCACTGTTGTACAATGATAGACAAGCTAAGTATGTATGTATTGAGTGTCCTCCAATCTACTGTACCCCTAAAGAATTTTAGAAAATAAAATATTGTTTTTAAGATATTTGCTTTTAAGATTTTTACTGTTACCATAAGGTGTAACTTCCTTGCTGTGGTAAGGGAAAATGCCTTGCTAAAACTCATTGGTATGGTTCACTCATCTAAACAAAGCATAATATGATTCAAGAAACAGACATACAATTTTCATAGGGGAAAGTTCACAAACTAATTTATTTGAATTCAGGTAAATATTGCAAGTAAATATTCTTATGACTTGAGTTACAAAGAAAATGTAAGAATCAACTAGTTATATTATAGTATAAGTAGTAGGTTTACTGCTTTTAGCATAGTAGCAATTGAAATTGAATTGAATTTTTTTTAAAAAAAACTATGTTAATAAAAAGTTATCTTATATACTCATTTTAACTCTTTTCTGCCTAGTCCTTTAGTTCCCTCTAGTGTCCATTTGCAATCTTCATCAAGCCTCAATTCCTAACATTGGTTTAATTCTGTTTCAGTCATTTTCCACAAGTATATTATTTGATTATACACTTGTTTTTCAAATTCTACCACAAAATTAATCAAGATTTTAAATCTTTCTGACCTCTGGATTTTCTTAACTGAAAGGGTTGTTTTCCTGGGGGGAGGGGGAAACATGAACTGAAATAGTATTTCAGAAAGAATACTGATTTCAATGGATAAACCTTTAAATGATGATCAGAAAAACTTTTTAAAAAAAGTTTACCTTCCATTGGTATTATAGGTTTGAGGACATGGAACACAACAAGATTGAGATTACCAAAATTAGAATACAAAAGACAAATGAAGAAAAGGATCTGAACATGGAACGGCTCTGACAAAAAAAATAGGATGATGCCCTTTTATGGAATTTGCAAAGTAGGCTTTGAAAATTCCTTTTAGATGCCATACTGATGAAAGAAAAAATATTGTGAGGTCATAGATGTTTGAGGTCAAGATTGTGCAGAGCAAGGAACATAAAGATGAACTATTTGATCATAGATAAATTATTTATCTGATAACTCCTATTCGACTTTTTGCCTAACTAGTTTTAAAAGGATGATAATGTCTGGATATAGCTAGGTTATATTTAATAAATTCACCAAAGAAAGATTTTTTTTTTCATCTGGAGAAGAACTAGATGTAGTAGACCACTGCATATACCTTGGCCAATGGATCTCAATGGTAGGTGATACAATATAGGAAATTCAAAATCAGTACAAAAGCTAGGAGTGACTCAAAGAGCCATGGAAAGATACATGCTCGGCATTACAAGACAAGATAGAAAAACCTGCACATGGATTAGAGAACAAATGAAAGTATACGATATCACCAAGAGAGTAAAAGAATTGAAATGGAAATGGGTTGGTCATGTAGAAAGAACTAAAGGCAGGTGGACCAAGGTAGTCATAGAATGGATCCCACTTGATGAAAAGTGTCCACAAAACAGACCTAAAACAAGAAGGATCAATGACATCAGCAAGTATTGTGGGCTCAATTGGGAAAAGAAAGCTCAGGACCATATTAGTTGGAAACATGCAGAAGAGACCTTCATCCTACAGTGAGTAGACAATGACTACGATGATGATGATGATGAATAGTTAGGCTATGGGGAGAAGGCTATTTACCTGTAAAAGAAGGTGAAAAGGTAATATATTAACTTATGCTCAATGACTGGAAACCATTTTTTAATTATTTTCTTTGTTGACTTTTTTTTCTACTTTTTTCTTTTCCTTTTTTTAATTTTGTCTGCATCTTCTGAACTTTTCAACAAATAACAGTTGTGCAATATCCTTATTTATTTCCAATAATATGGTTCTCAGGGATAGTGACTTATCAAAGGAAGTCTTAAGTAAGGCTTGAGCCGTTCTTGCCAGGAATTAAAAGCAAATTTAGCTTAAAACCAGTCTTTATATTATTTCTTTTTTGCATTTGTACCTTGACTTTCTTCGATGAAGCTCATGACAGCATATCTATTTTCCCTCATCTGTGCACTTTATCCCAACTGCAAACCTATGAAGTAGGCAAAACTGGATCCATTCTCCTATGCAAGGTCAGAATTCAAACGCATTTCCATCAGCTGTGTAAAAGAATAACAACCTGAAACTGACGTACAAACCTCAGCAGAATGGCCATTTTGCTGGGATCCTGGAAGCTATAGTTCAGCAACATTGGGATGGTCACAACCTTCCTGTATGTCAAGTCTGTGGAACCATGGCTTTTGTCTATCATGGAGGCAAGCAACAGAATATCCAGTACTCAGATCCAGGTCTCACCTTTCTCCTTTTTATGTCCTCTGAAGCCTCCTTTGACCACACACATTGTTTCAGTCCCAAAATTGCTTCCTTTATTCAAAACAAAGGCAGAGGGAGATACAATCCTGACCTTCTATGTGAATGGTACTACTCTGCATTGTAACCCCATCTTCAGATGCTCTCATCCTACCCCAAAAGTATCAATTTAGACCTTGACTTGCTTCCAAAAGGCAAGGAGATTATTTATGCTTTGTTTTCCTTTTTTAAAAAAAATGATTCTCTAACGCCAATTAGATCCCACCATGCTGCTCTATTCCTAGTCTACATTTTGGGATGGCCTAGTGGGCTATGATGAGCAAGGGGAAATTTATCAGAAAATAGCAATTGCTGAACCTTAAGGCACAATCAGGACAACACCCTGAAGATTCCTTGTGGAATTTCAGGAAAAAGTATTAATAGTCCACCGGCAGTAAAAGTCTATTTATTCTATTTTGCATTTCTGCAGCTTAATTGATGTTTGAACAAACTGTCAAACAGCAAATTAAGAAGACTAAAGATGGGTCCATGTGCTGCATTAATCCATGATTTGCAGAACCACCATGATTTGCTGGTAGATACATTGCAACTGTACTGTAAATACCATTTGCAATTCTGTTAAGCCATAAATGGTCTACAAAGGGAACTTGTCTGAGTTTACACAACAGACTGTTAAAATGAGATCAAACACTTGGCTTTGTTATTTATTTATTTATTATTATTTCAATTTCTATATTTAAGTCATAGATTCTAACTTCCAAGGACTTCATGGAGAAGACAAGTAAGACACCAATCCTTTGACTTATCCTTTTATTTCCATATTAGCTTAGTTTGTACAACATAGTTTAATTAAGTAATAAATAAATAAATAAATAAATAAATAAATAAATAAATAAATAAATTTCTATACCGCCCTTCTCCTGAAGGACTCAGGGCGGTGTACAGCCTATTAAAAGCACAAAGATAGACATCAATTAAAAATAATTAAAATTATTAATTAATTTCGGCTCAGATTTAAAACCCCAAAAATTTAAAACACCCAATTTACAATCATTACATTGATAGCCCGGCCTGGCGGAACAGCAGGGTCTTGAGGGCACAGCAAAATACACAGAGTTCATTGTAATTGTAGCCTAATACAGCACAGTCTTTTTAACTATAATCCTTGATTTATCTAAGATTTAGGTGTTATCCAGACAAAAACTAATCAAGCTAAATTCAGGTAATACTGTATGTTAAAACCTCATACAAATCGAAGTTAAGATGGCCGCTCACACAATTCTATTAGCATACTAAAATGGCTTAGTTTATTTTACAAACACTCCAATTCATAGCATTGCCTCTTTTAACTATCCATAGGAATGAAGAAATATATGTATTTGAAGATAGTTGAGAATTCTTAAGACACTATATTGGAATGAAGACCAGGGACATTGTTGTAGCCCGTCGGCTGCCAGCAGAGATAGCTGCAGAGTCAGACGAGAAGGAAGTTGAGGGAGAGCCTGGGCCAACTTCACAGCCTTTGGAAGGCTCTGATAAAGAAATAACATCAGAGAAGAGGCAGAGCTGGGGCCTGAGCTAGTGAGGGGGAGGAACAGATGCACATATGCACAGAGACGAAAAGAGAGGAGAGCAAAGGAAAGCAGTAAGCCGGATCTCAGGGAGAGGCAGACACAGACAATAGCTAGTCCCTTCTGGCTGGAAAATAAATAGGAGGGGTTTGGGAGTTGCCGGTTATCACAGACAACAGTTCAATTCTAGTATACAGCAGATTGGATTTCTTGGATAAACCCAAGAAATAGGTTTATCCAAGAAATAGGTTTAGGATAGGTTTGTTGGGACTAATTACGTTTGATTTTTTGTTTATCCCTGTGAATAAAAGACTGTTATTGCCCTGTTATAAAAAGGGGGTTGTTTTACTCATGAGTAAACAACTTATTACTACTTGCGAAGGCTGGGTAAGAACAGACACGTTTAATTTTTCTTCAAGCTATTAACAATGAGAATCTAATTTCTTTGAGTTCTGCTTTTTATTTCTTTAAATTATATTTAATAGCGCAAAGTATAAAGTGCTGGATAGCCTAAAAAACATCATAAAACTACTGCCAAACTCTGGTTGACTTCCTGTCTCATAATAAGCCATAGTTCTGCTTTGTTTTGGCTTAGCTTATGTGATATTATTTATAATCCATCTCTATGGCTTCTCAGGTCATGGGAACCAGCCAATCATGACTTGTTCAACAATCCATCATTTAAATTGAGCTGAAGCCTATTCCGGTTGCTGTCCCCAAATCTATTTTTGTTTTGATGTGATGAAAGACTTTATTTAATATAACTAATTGAAGTTAATATGTTACCTTATAGAATTTAATTTCCAAGATCTTAGGTGCTATGGCAATAATTGTTTGACTAGGGTCTAATTTTAATTTCTATAATTCCTAATGTGGGAAAATTAAGCTTGAAAGATGCCCCATTCCTTCATCTGTTATGATGTAAAAACATAATTCCAATGGTATTGTGATGCTTACTGCTATTTATCACCTCTGAAGATCTTTTTAAATGTCTTCATGGGCAACATGTTCTAATTAGAATGCTAATGATGATGCTGAATCATAATATGTAGGTGCTCTCTTATGTCAGTACTATTCCATTCACACCAATGGTAATTGATGTTTCTCTGTTTAATACCAGATCTTCTGGTCCAGGAGATAAGAAGCTCTTGGCTTAGGAACTGGCACAATGGCCTTGAAAAG